AGCATGTTCTCTAAACAGCACAAGCAGGTCACAAAGAGAAGTGACTGCTAAACTACACAAGGGAACCTTAAACTTCAAGGTTCCCACTTCACCAAAAAAATCTGCCAGATATTCTAGGTGAACAGGCTGAAGAGTAATGCCCCAATATTGCAGAAAATCTTTTGGTGACCATCCATGCAGTGAGATGTCTCTGTGAGTTCTTGAGTTTTATATATTATCATTCTGGGGACTTTGATAGAGTTGAAAACACATAGTTATTGATATGATTTTCCTTGGTTATGACAAAAGGTAAGTTACATATAAAGCTTTAGACTCAGAAAGATAGAATATGTATAATAGAATATATCCTTTATATTGTGTTAATGGTTATTGGAGTTATTATTGGTAACTATACTTCTTGCTTGATATCTGTTTTGTTACATATAATTTTACTATGTTAAAGGTAAAGCCTTCCTTTTATTTTGACAGAAAGGAAGAGATGATGGGGTATGATCTGTATGCTCTTCATAAATATTTCTCTCATTGGTTGATGAATAAAGCTCTTTCAGTCTATGGACAGGCAGGATATACCAAGGCATAATCAAAACTGAAGACCATTCACTTCTTGACTATACAGAAAGTATGGCAAAGGCAGGGTTTGGACTAATAAATGTAGATCAATAAGCAACTAATAAAGCAATCTTTGACATCAGGAAACACTTTGAGGGGAAACACTTCCTCTCATTGTGGAAAGTCCTTCTCAGAGAAATTAAAGAGTATGATACTTATTGTAAGAAACCAAGTTTCTCTAGATGATAGAAAATCTTTAGAAGATGAAACAAATCTTTAGGAGACATAACATATCAAAATTAATAGAGATTAGATTAACAATCTCCCCAAAATTAGGGTTGGGGAAGGTTTTTGTTTTTTGTCATTTCAGGAAAATAAAAACAACCATCATGAATAATTTAAGACATTTGGGAAAATAAACATTTAAAGAATATGTGAGTATTGTCCTGAAAGAATTATCAAGAAAACAAATAATTTTTATTAATGCAATGTCTGAAATCTCCAAGAAAAATGGAATCCCACAAGGACAATTCCACCAAAGCTAAGATCAGAACATTGAGCTGGAAAACACTAAATTACTGTATGGTTTGCAATTTAAGCTAATAAATAAATAAATATCAAGTAATTTACCTCATATAAAATCCCAGAAGTTTGAGGTCTGAATTCTTGTTGGTTTGCTTGTTGAACTTAAGTTACAATAAATATTTTCACCTGCACTCTGTTTCAGCAATGAAATACACAGATTAGCATTCATCCAGTATCAAAAATGAACAATTTACAAACTCATATTTATGGAATAAATACAAGACACTCTATAAAACAGTAATCAACAATACAGTACAAAACTCATGACAACAAGTGTTGCTGTAACAGAGGAAACAAAACCCTACCATTATAATGGCTAACTGATGAACCTGTCTTGGTGGTGCAATGACCAATGACATCTGAGAAGCTAGGGGTTCTAGAAGAGCTGGTACAGGAACAACCAAATTCTTGACCTATTAATGAATCTGCCAGTTCTTGGAATTCTCCTGTATTTGTTATTAAAAATTAATCTAGAAAATGGAAAATGCTTACAGACCTGAGTGCCATCAAAAAAGTAATTCAGTCAATGGACACTCTGCAGCCTAGAATGCCCTTATCTTCTCTGATACCTAATGAGTGGTCTATTATAATTATTGATTTAAAAGATTTCTTCACTGTACCTTTACAAAAAAGATCAGAGAACTTTTGCCTTCATGTTTCCTACTTAAAATAATTCTCAGCCAGTCATTAGATATCAATGGAAGGTCCTCCTACAGGTAATGATAAATAGGTCCACCATGTGCCAATATTTTGTTTACAAATTATTGGAAATAATTCACATGCATTCTCTGCAACCTACAATGTACAATTATGTGGATGACACTTTATTGGCTGGTTCTAAGGTAGAGACATTAGATAAAATGTTTGCAAAAGTAAAGAAACTTTAGACTCCCTGGGGATTAAAAATTGCTCCAAGATCTCCCAAAACAGATAGCATAATGCTTTTTTAACCTTAAGTTTCCTTAATGCTAATGTGAAAGGATATGATATGATAGCTTACATAAGTGACTCAAAAAACTCCGCAAGGTTACTCCTAGAGCTGATAAACACCTTCAGCAAAGTGGTAGGATACAAGGTAAACTCAAAAAAAATCAGTGGTCCTATTATATACAGATGATGAAGTAACTGAGAAAGAAATCAGAGAAACCTCACCCTTTAAAATAGACATAAACAGCATCAAATATCTGGGGATAATGTTAACCAAGGAAGTGAAAGACCTGTATATCAAGAACTTTGAGTCTTTAAAGAAAGAAATCAAAGAGGATATCAGAAAATGGAAAGGTCTCCCATGCTCTTGGATTGGTAGGGTCAACATGATAAAAATGTCAATCTTGCCAAAAGCAGTCTACAGATTCAATGCAATCCCTATCAAAATTCCAGCACAATTCTTCACAGACCTGGAAAGAACATTAATCAACTTTATATGGAAAAACAAAAGGCCCAGGATAGCCAATACAACCCTATACAATAAAGAAACTTCAGGAGGCATCACCATTCCTAATTTCAAGCTCTATTATAGAGCTATAGTCTTGAAAACAGCTTGGTATTGGCACAAAAATAGGCAAGTAGACCAATGAAACCGAATTGAAAACCCTGATTTTTTTTCAGATTTCAAATTTTATTATGTTCCAGTAATTAAAACAGTAGCATTGGCATGAAGACAGACAGAAGCCAAAAAACAAGACTGGGGCTTAGAAACAGCTATACTCTGCATGGTGGAATGTTTTCCCACCAAAGGGCAATGTGGAAAACTAGATATCTACATGAGAAGAATGGGAAGTCAGACCCTTTACTTACATTACACACAAAGATTAACTCAAAATGGATCAAAGAGCAAAGCTAAGAGCTAAAACTAAAATTCCCCAAGGCAAGCTATAATTAGCTCCACTGGGTGAGACAATACTTTTGTGGATATGACTACCAAAAACTCAACCAGAGTCAACTACCCACTATTAATGGGCAACGGACCTAAAAAGATTTCCTTAAGCAATATGTAAAGGTCAACAAGCATATAAAACATGTGACATCACTAATCAGGGAAATGCCAAACAGAATCACTGGTATATATTCACACCCATTAGAATGGCCACTAAAAGAGAATAGGAAATAAATTGACAAAGTTATAGGACATTTATAACAATCCTTGTGTACCGCTTACAAGAATATAAAATAGTGTGGCTGCTACAAAAATTATGACAGTGCCTCAAAATAGTTGCCCTATAACACAGACTGCTACAACTGAAAGGGGGGGTCCCTGGGATACTTGTATATACATGTTCACAGCAATAATCAGGAGCTCAAAAGTGGAAACAAGCGAGTATCCACTGCTGATTTAGTAGGTAACAAGGTAAGGAACATATTACAAAGAAGGAAATACACTATACACAATGACTGAACCTTGAGGGTATTTTGCTAAAATTAAATTAGCCAGTCCTCATCCCATCCCTGAAAAAACCCACATGCTAAGATTGCATTCATACCAGGCACTTAGGGTACTCAAATTCAGACACAGGAAATAGAATGGTCATCACTATAGAGAGCATGCCAAGGGTAAGGTAGGGAAGGCACACTTTACATTTTGTGAAGAGTGAAGAATTCTACTGCAGACTGTGCACTCAAGTGTGAATGCACTAAACACTATTAACCTATATATACACTTTAAGATGCTAAGTTCTGTTATTTATATCTAACCAATAACTTGAAATATGGCTACAAATAAGGTATATAAAATTATTTTGAAAGCAAGCCCAGGCCTATGGATGGGAGATAAAATTATAAAACCCTTCAATGAAGACATAGGAGTAAGTTTCTGTAAGTTTGGGCTGGTAAGTTTAAGATGGTTTCTTACAGCACACTGAAAGAAAAAAGAAACACTGTAATTTACCCAAATTAAAACTGTTCTTTAACTCTGTGAGTTTGAGGCTGGGCTGGACCGACAGCCTCAAAAACAATACAGAGAAACCCTGCCTCATAAAACCAAAAAAAATTGTTCTTTAAGCCAAGCATTGTGGTTTGTACCCATAAACTCTAATTCAAGGCTTCATTGTGAGTTCCAGGCCAGCCTGGCCTAAGACCCAGTCCCTAAAACACATAAGGGCAACACATAAAAATAGTGTGCTTAGTTGCCAGGTGTTGGTGGCACGAGCCTTTAATCCCAGCACTGGGGAGGCAGAGGCAGGTGAATCCCTGTGAATTTCAGACCAGCCTAGTCTACAGACCAAGTTCCAGGACAGCCTGCAAAGCCACAGAGAAACCCTGGCTTGAAAAACAAAACAAAAATCCAAAACCCAAAACAAACATAAAAACAGTGTGCTTCAACGATAGCATGAGAATCAAAAGGAAAACCAGTGTTTAGGGATGAGGCCCATAACTCATCCAATAAGATTGCGAGTGGAGTAGGCATGGTACACATCAAGATCTAGCCAAGATCACAAAGGTTGGAGTAGGAGCATGACCCAGAAAAGACCAGAGTGCTTCAGTAGGATGTGATTTGTGGGCCCACACTCCTTTTTGGGCTACAAAGATCTTAAGATGTGGACTTAGGTTGATATTACCCATTAGGAGGAGACAGCTAGATTAAATTGAAACCAAGAAACAAATAAGAGTTGGAAGAACCCTGACAACAGGTTCTATGGTACTAATTGTGTCAGTCACATTATGACCTCCTGAATTAATTCCCAAAACACATTAAACTCTTAGCCCATACTTGTTCAATCAAATGTATCTTCTATAAATGACTTCACATGACAGAATCATTCAGAAACAGCACTTATCCATTTTCTTTAGTGTTCTCTGAAGGGAAATCAGGGTCCAGATGTCAAGCAGATGCAGCAGCTACTTTTCCTACGTTGGCTCTTTTCTGCTAAGGACCAAAGAAAATCCGGGGTGATTTTCATCTTGCTTCAATATAATGTTATCAATATCCTTTTCTTCCTCTGAATCTTGATCTGGTATCCAACATTGATCTTTTACACTCAAAAAATGAATACTGTAAAGCTCTGCAGTATCCTTCCTTCAAACACTGCCGTGGGGATTTTCCTTCCTGGAGCACACAGGCCGACTGCAGTAGACAAGCGCCCAGGTCCTCCTTCACGCCAGCGCACGCGCCGCCCTCCACCTTGTCCTCATAATAGCGGGGCATGGCTGTGCCCGCCGCCCTCGCAACACTGATCCTTGAAAACCCTGATTTTAACACACACACCTATGAACACTTGATTTGTGACAAAGTAGCTAAAGCTATACAATGGAAAAAAGAAAGCATCTTCAACAAATTGTGCTGGCATAACTGGGTACTGGTATGCAGAAGACTGCAGATAGATCCATGTTTATCGCCTTGTACAAAACTTAAGTCCAAATGGATCAAAGATCTCAACATAAATCCAGCCACACTGCAACTTTTAGAAGAGAAAGTGGGAGATACTCTTCAACGAGTTGATACAGGAGACCACTTACAAAACATAACACCAATGGCACAGACACTGAGATCGACAATTAACAAATGGGACCTCCTGAAACTAAAAAGCTTCTGTAAGGCAAAGGACACAGTCAACAAGACAGAAAGGCAGTCCACAGAATGGGAAAAGATATTCACTGACCCCACATCTGACAGAGGGCTAATCTCCAAAATTCACAAAGAACTCAAGAAGCAAGTCACCAAAACACCAAAGGATCCAATCAAAAGGTGGGGTACAGAACCAAACAGAGAATTCTCAATAGAGGAGGCTAAAATGGCCAAGAGACAGTTAAGAAAGTGCTCAACATCCTTAGCTATCAGGGAAATGCAAATCGAAACAACTCTGAGATACCATCTTACTCCTGTCAGAATGGCTAAAATCAAAAAAACCGAAATCAATTTATGCTGGAGAGGATGTGGAGAGAGGTGAACACTTCTCCACTGATGGTGGGAGTCCCAGCTTGGAAAGCCACTTTTGAAAGCAGTGTGGAGATTCCTCAGGAAAGTGGGAATCAATCTACCACAAGACCCAGCAATTCCTCTCTTAGGCATATATCCAAAGGAGGCAAATTCATACAACAAGGGCATCTGCTCTACTATGTTCATAGCAGCATTATTTGTAATAGCCAGAAACTGGAAGCAACCTAGATGTCCCTCAACTGAACAGTGGATAGAGAAAATGTGGTACATTTACACAATGGAGTATTACTCAGCAGAAAAAAACAATGGAATCTTGAAATCCGCATGTAAATGGATAGCACTGGAAGAAACCTTCTTGAGTGAGGTAACCCAGTCACAAAAAGACAAACATGGTATGTACTCACTCATATATGGATTTTAAACATGGATCAGGAGAGTTCCAGTCTGCACTTCCACTGACAGAGAGTCTGGGAAACAGGATAGAACCTAAAAGATATACATGGTACCCAAGGGAAGACAAATGAGGCAAGATCTTCTGAACAGATGGGGAACACGGCAATGGGTGGGTGGGATGGAGACCTGGGAAATAGAGAGGGGGAGAAGTGGAAGGGAGGCAAACATCCACAGTTAAATACTGAACAGAACCCAAGGAACCCAGGGACAGAGAGAGAGGAGTGAAGAGCAAATTGGCAAAGAATGGGCTGGTAAAACCAGCAGAGACAGCTGATCCAAACAGGACATAGCTCTTGGACCCCAGAGGGACAGCTGGGAGGCCAGCATGGGACCAATCCAGACCCCCTGAATGTGAGACTCAATGAGGAGGCCTGGGCTACCTATGGGGTCCTGAGCAGTGGATCAGTGTTAATCCCTCAAATACTAACAGACATCGTGTGTCCATAACACAAAGAGGGTTGCTCTCTCTGCCTGGACTCTTAGGGAAGTGCCTGGACCCTACCCTGAATGAAATGATAGACACTAGATATCCCCTATGCAGAAGGAATTGGCAATAGGGTGGGAGGATGGGAGGATTGTGGGGGGGGTGTGGGAGGAGGGGAGTGAGAGGGAACTGGGACTGACATGTAAAACAAGCTATTTAAAGTTAAAAAATGTTAAAAAAATAAAACATATATATGTTATATAATGTGATATGCAACAAAAAATTGGAATATCATTTACCTGGTCTACAGTTATGAAATTAATCATTCTAAAAACTTACATTCTACAATGCTCATCTTAAAATTTATATACAACTGGGATAATATTAATAATAGTAAAGTGACTAACTGGAATAATGAGCATTGCAATTTAGCCCCCCAGAGAAAGATTCTTTATGATGTAGTCTATGACTCACTTAAATGCACTTGTCAACTTTGTGTCACCTACACCTATGCTTTCAGTGATAAACATTCTTCATATATACACAGTACCTCTGTATGAATTTGATCTTCATTTCCTATTGTTTAAGTAAAATTTGGATTTAATGAAAATTATTTTGACTGATTTTTTTACCTTAAAATTGAGAATTTTATGTAATTCAGAGAGAAAAAGATTCTGGCAGTCATGTTTGTCTTTCTTAAGTGATCCCTGCTTATAATACTAAACAAACTGTTGCTTTGCTTTTGTAATCACTCAAATATTAATGTTTTGTTTCTTTATTTTCAGGAAAGAAATTGTTTCCTATTTTAAGAAAGCTGTGACTTTTGAAGTAAGACTGCTGTAAGCATGACATATATGATTTTGCATACAGATATTTGGGTATACATGAAGGTCTACAATTATTTTGAGCAAGCAATACAGGGTGAGTGGACTAAAAGTAGAAATTATTTTCTTCGAATTTGGGGTCTACCTCTTACATATTAAGGTGCCTTGAAGAATGTTTCTATCTGATTATGAAGAGATACTGCTACTTGGTCTGATTTTAATCATGATTTACTCTGTCTCTTCAGTGTTCTTATTGGCAAGATGGAACTGAAAAACCAAACAGCTATTTTGGAATTTCATCTTCTTGGGCTGACAAATGATCATGAACTAGAGCCTGTAATCTATAGCATATTCCTGTCCATATATTTTGGCACAATTCTTGGAACCTTAATCATCCTCTTGACAATCTGTTCAGATTCCCAACTTCATACCCCCATGTACTTCTTTTTATCCGTTTTGTCTATTAGTGACATTTGTTTAAGCATAAGCTCCATCCCAAAGTTGTTGGTGAATATTCAAACACAGAAAAAACAACATCAATTATATACAATGCATCTCTCAACTCTTCTTTGTCTCAGTTTTCAGTGACATGGAAAATTTTCTCCTTGCAGTAAAGAACTATGACCGCTGTGTGGCCATTTGTAAGCCCCTCAGGTACAAAGCTACCACGAAACACTTTCTGTTCTGCTCTGCCTTTTCTTTAGCATTATAGATGCTCTACTCCATAGTCTGATGGTGCTGTGCCTGTCTTTCTGCATAGACTTGGAAAACCCAATCTTCTGTGAACTTGCTTAGATTCTAAAGCTTTCTTGTTCTGATACATTCATTAATAATATGCTTATATTCATTACTGTTTTCATATTCACAGTTGGTGCCTTCTGTGGGGTCATCTTTTCATAGATTTACATTTTGTTCTCAGTCTTGAGAATGACATCTCAAAGAGGAAAGAGCAAAGCGTTTTCTACCTGTACATCTCATTTGTCTATTGTTTCTTTGTTCTATGGGACAGGTCTTGGTATATACCTCAACTCCTCAGTGACTGTTTATCCAAGAAAGTTAGCAGTGGCTTCAGTGATGTGCACTGTCCTCCCTCAAATGCTGAACCCCTTTATCTATAGCTTAAGGAATAGAAACATTAAAAAATCCTTTGTGACATTCTTTGTTCTATAGTGTGTTCACTGCTATCCATGAGGGTTGTTTTGGGGAAACTAAAGATATGAAGACTTATAATAAATAATAATGACTGAGTATATTGCTATCATATTTTATAGGAGGACTAGACAATGATCACTACATATATTTTAACTTGGCTTAATGTTACATAATAACATTGTCTTTGTTTTGTTTAATGCAGTTATCAATCCTCTTAGCACCATTTATTTCTTGAGTACATATTGGCATACTGCAGTAGCAGTTCTAATATAATTAAATCTTTTTGCTGAGTTTTCAGAAGAATGTAAGACTGATAAAATGCTAGGTACATGGACAGTATTTAAATAAATCTTCTATCATATCAAGAAAATAGATTTCCCATACTAATATCATTACCAGAAGTAGTTGGATTTTGAGCAAAGATTTAGACATCTATAGGCTTGTGATTAATTAGTCCAGTATTTTATTGATGTGCAATATTTTTCTTAAAATTTTTACCCATCACATTCAGTACATTTACTTACAAAATATTCAATATTAGGAAATCTCAGTTAATTTTATGATTGTTATTTTAAACAGTCTAATATGAAACATTATATAATTGATAAACAAATGTGTGTCACTTCAGTTGATAGATTTCCCTGTGAGTGTGACTGTTCCAATACTTTCAGACCCAAGCATGTTGGCTCAAGGTGTCCTCCAAAACTCCTTGTTTGGGGTATGGCCTGTCTCCCCTAATTCAGTGAAAGTGACCTTAAATTAAAACAAAATAAGCCAAGAGGAAAGACCTTAGAATAGTTGGAATATGAGTCATTTCAATCATATGTTGCTATTATTTATGTCATTCTATGAAAATGGCTACAGTAGGAGAAAGAAAACTAGTGAAGTACATATATGAAGAAAAAATCAATTGCGAACTCTGGCTCTACATCTCAATTTCCTATGCTGTTGTCTGCTGCATAGTTTTAGCACTTTATTATATCTGTTAATACTTGATATTATATTGAGAAGCCTCATCCAAGGAGTCATTTTGTGGTTGAAGGGATTGTCTTTATGTGGAGCTCAATGCTACCTCACTGTCTTAGCAGGGCTCTGCAACTCAAGTTCTGCTGGATGTTTTAAGCACTTGATTTGATGATGTTTTCTACATGCATAATTATCCATGCCTACAATGTGTGTTCTACTCTGTTATTTTAGTTTGTTGTGTACTTAATAAACTGATTTTTAAAAATTCAAAAAGCATTGTGTTTCATTCTGCAATGGTATAGAACACATTAGTACACTAAAATACACTCTTACATTTTTATTCCAGACACTTCAACAAATATACCAGAATATGGTTTTGAACTTCATTTTGTCTTTTCTAAATTTCCTTCCTTCTAGGAGTGGTTTTCTTAATGGTTTATATATGTTTG